TATTGGGGTTTTTTTCTAATCTGTTGATATACGACAGCATATACCATATCCGAGGAGTCCCGTTTGGATTTTATGAGAATGAGAATTCTTTCCTCTTTTCAGATACGACAAGGCATGTTTTATTTCATTTCATTAGGGGTCTTTCATATTTTGAAGATTTTTGAATAACTGCTGTCAGAATATGTGGATTTGCATGCTGTTTTTAATATTTATTTTAAGTAATTTTTTAGCTTTTATCTGATATGCTGGAAATGAACACGCTGTCTGCCGAATTGAGTGTCAATTTTGGTCTGTTTTTGAGAAAGCTAGGCTCTAGGAAAACGACTCAGCTGGTATAAGAATCTGAAGAACATTTTTTTTTGCTTGTTTGAATCATGAACTTGATTTGTATGCTGAAACATTGGATTCCAGTAGTGGATAGAACACGGGACTGCGCTTGTGTTTCGTTGATTTCCATCTGCCCACACTTTTGAAAATTTATTTAGAGCACATGGTTTATCTGCATATTTGCCGTATGAAACGCACGTAACGACGCAGTCAGCGGTGAGTCGCTGAATGCCATTTGTTCTTTTTCGCCCTTTTCAACAGTTCCTCGTTTCCAGTACCTAGTGACTTCTTTCAGGGGCTGAAAGAATATTCTGTGTAACAGATGATTGATATGCTGTTTTAACCACTGTTTGTCTCTAGAAAAACAGGCCTCAAACGCTTGCCAAGGTCTAGACTGTAAATAAACCGAAGTAATTACTGTAATTCTGATTCACTGAAGATTGTCAAGCTGTCAGTCTTTCTTTCAATTATTGCATATTCCTGCCAAAGTTATTGCTGATGTCGATAGGGTGTGATTTAAGTTTCCAATCGAATTCCAAAACTTTTCAGATAGGTCTATAGTAACGATAGTTATGATACCGACAGTGATAATCATGACGATTACTGATAATGGCTACGTCGGTGATGTTGAAACTTAGTTTCGTCTGAACGGAATTGTGCCTGTAAGTCTGCTACATCGTTACATTAGAATGATGTTTTAGTGAAAGCAGCAACAGCGACCTGCTGCAGAGGTGCTACTATGAACTGTCCGTTGTATGCTATCAACGTCATGACCTCGCTGCTGCAGAGGCCTATTGCAGGGAACTGTTGACGATCGCTGTCAAGCGCCATTCGAAAGAAGAGCAAGTAGACGCCTACTTGAATTTGTTTCACGTATACCTTTTCTTTCAGTTGTTTTTGCCTACGTTAAGTCAATTTAATTTTGTTAGGTGTATATTGAGCAGGAAAACATAAAGAAGGCTCTGGACATCATCCAGAGAGCTAAGCGTCTCAAATGCACGTCGCATGTCGAGTGGAGCCAAGTTATCTCATATAAAAAGTCAGGTTAGATGGCAACACTCCTTTCTCTTCGCCGTGTTTGTTTGGCTGATCATTCGATTTGTAGCGAAAAAAATGCAACAGAGCATTGAACAGCTCAAAGAAATTGCAGCTGCAAATGAACCAGTTAACAGAATGAAGCTCTTCGAGAAGATAGCTGATCTGTTAGCCGAATCCTTGAGTACCAACTGCATGAAGCATTTGGAATTGGCACTAAAATATTACGAAAAAATGGTAATCCATCAATTCGTCATTCATTCGTTTACATTGAGTCTGATCGCTAGTTGATTGCATGTAGTGGTGAATGACTAAAATTTACAAACTTCTGCGAACATACTTTAAAATACTTGAGCTATATTCAGAATTATAATACGCATGATTTCATCACTTATATGTCATGTTTTACTTAAGCTAGCACTCCTCCATAGTTACTTAACATCGATGCCTCACGCATAAAT